AATGGTTGATGCGACGTTTTTGTAACACTTCTTGCACGTCAGCGTTGTAGAACTCCTTCCCCTTGTCCGTTTGCAAATTCTTCGGACATCGCGCGCTCTCGCGAAAAAGTTTAGAGAGGGTCGCGGCCACTTCCTTTCCACCCTTGCTCTTGAGCGGCAAAGCCCACGCGTATTTGCTTAATACATCGATGACTGTCAGTATGTAATTGTGACTCTTATTGAATCGCGAGTACGGTCGCATTTCCACCACATCAGCCTGCCACAGATCGTCGTATCCTCGCACTATGACACGTCGTCGTGGAAAGTTCTTCCGCGTCGGGGCGTGCAGCTCCTCCACGAGTCTTCGTTTCTCGACGCTCATCGTCCTCTTTTTTTTTAATTCAGGTTTTAAAAGATCGAGAACTTCTTGTAATCGAGGATGTTCTCCATGCTTATTGTTATATTGCAACGCTGCTATCAACTCTTTCACAGCGGTCTGCAGAATAAGCAACTGTCTGTTGTGTAAGGCAATATTAGTTTTCAGATTCGATGCTGTGTTAGTAACATCGACGACGGCCATATGTCTGTCGAGCGTTCCTTTTTCAATTCTTTCGCCGAGTGTTTGTTGCAACGTTTGTAACTTTTTTTCTTGCGCGTCCACGAGTATCCTGTTATTCGCCATGTGCATCACGCTTTACCCTATCAGGTCATACAACTCCTGTAGTCTACGTTCATGCTTATTCATTGTAGACTGGTTGCTCTCGAGCGTTGTTTTTACCTCTTGTATCCTCCTCTCAAACGTCTTTGCGTTCTCTTCCAAATCGTGCAGCTGACCTTCCAATCGATGTGAAAGCGTGTGAATCGCAGTATCCACATAGTTTTTACTTGTCGCGTCGTTCTCGTCATGAGGTTCACCTATACGTCGTATCTTACGCGAGCGTCCGTCGTAGTCAACAGTGTTTGGATTCAACGTATTTTCGAGCACGTACCTCCGCAAGGATGCGATTGATGAACGTGTTTCGTTCAATGCAATTCCATCGTTTTCATGTCTCTCCAGAGACATGCCAAACTTGTTGACATACATGACGTCTTCGGTGTGTGAACCGTACTGCTGACACGATTGATGAAACCAGGTTAATTTATAATGAATCCAGCCTCGCGAAGCTCCTCGATTATCGATAGAATTTCGTTGTCGTGAGCATTGTTGCCAGCGAGACGAGAAGAATCGAGCAATCGAAGACGATCTGTCAATTCGTTGGGATCGTCCCAGTGAACGTAATCTACTTTGTTATCGGTTACTCTCATGGTTGACGGGACGCGGGTCGCACCCGCGCCTTTTTTCTTATCACCGCGAATGAGCGGACCGATAATCGTACTGTACTTGTAACCCTTGTTACCCATGATCGGCATACTCGCGCTGCGACCGTGTCTGTGAGCGTTTGTCGTCAGCAGTATACTCTTATACGTTTGCAAATCGTTTTTGGTGTAGGCAAGATCGTCGGGGAGTCGTTTGAAAATCAATTCGTACAGACCGGGAGTACCGACGTACCTCGTTCCATCGATGATCTTCGAATCGTCCTTGTCAACGTGGAATCGCTTGTCACCGAGTTTAGCCCCATCCTCGCTGACGTACATACCGTAAACGTGATCGTTCGCATTCTTGTTCTCTCCACCGAAAAGATCGCCTTTGTATTTTTGTCCCAACGGTCCCAATTGACTATGCAACATATCATGACCTTGCACCGTTTGCAGAGTCTCTCTCGCGGACGTTTCGAGCGAGATCGGCGCCTCATCCGTCTCATACACCTCTTCCCGTTCCACGTATGGGACTAACTTTTTCTAACGGTGTAACAGTCGTTCGCGATTCTATCGGTGTAGATCTAATCACCTTGCGCGATTCTATTGGTGTGGAACCGATTGTGGGTGAGGCTGCGGTCTCGATAGGTCGTTGTTTTTTTGTTTTCACCTTCAATGATTCGTCTGGAGTTGTTGCTTTGAAAACATCGTCGTCGTCGTCGTCGTCGCCCTAATCGCAGTCGTAGGTGCTCTCCTTGCGTGCTGTCTTCACGAGAACGGCTCCATCGGATGAGTTTTCGACACGTTCGGCGATGCGTTTCAACGGTTCGACTATCGGCTTGAAATGTCTCTCCAGAGCGATCTCCTCCTTCAGGTTACCAGTTTTCAGAGCGCGATGTTTCTTACGAATCCATGCGCGCGTTTTAGCGATTTCTTTTACAGTTCTCTCCTGCTCGGCGGTACTCATCGTTCTGGTTGGTCTACAGTACGACGAAGTCGTTAAATCCACGTCTGTATCTACCATTTCGCAGTGCGCTGTCCTTATCTATAACCACAAAGCCGTACTTTCGACGCCAACTTTCGCGACACAGCGCGCGAAAGTTCTCGTACGACATGTCGGTGTTCACGTGATAGTTGTATACGTGTTTCATATTGGTTTCATCCTGTCGAAATAGGATCAACAGATTTGCGTTGTCACGTATTAAATGTTTCGGTATCTTGGCATATGTCTGACAGAGATAGAAACAATCGATTTTCGAGTGTCGACCCATGGAAAAGCACTCTCTAATTGTATCCTGTTTATCGCAGACCACGTCGTCGAATATAAATATCGATTCGGAAAGCGCCTCGTCGGGGGGTATGACATCACTATTATTCGAGAATGCGTGATAGCCGTCTCTTCTATCGAATCGAACAAACGTTCGAGGTATCGATACTTGGGTTGATGCAGAGATTTCGAGTACACATACACGTTTGAGAAACGTATGCCGTGTGGACTTTCCAATAGACTTATCAACACGTTAGTCTTACCGCAGTTAGATGGTCCACAGATAATGCAGCGTATTGTGTTGGGTAATAAGGGGCCGTGTCTACGTGTATCACTAACGTCCGACATCATTCGTGTTCTGAGATCAAGATTGCGCACCCCAATCGTCGGTAATCGTGGCACGAATCGCATTTTGGCACGTGTAATGCGCGCTTGCGCGCCGATTCGTTCTATTTATACAGGACCGATTCGTCGGTTCGCGCAGTCGTCAATATTTTTCTCACACTGCTGGATAGGCGCGATATTCTCGAGTGGTCTCCCGAACAGTTACGTTTTCTGTCAAAACACATTCTGCTGCGCTACTTCGGCACCTATGTAGACCAGTTGTGGGATAAATTGGACGTTACTCTGAAAACTGACCCCGAGGTGCAAAGTTATCGCGCGTGTCTCGAGCATTACAACCAACCTTGGCAGAGAACGCACATTGACGGTCCACCGCCGCTCGTTAAGGATTGCGTTCAATGTCAAAGCAAGCGAAACGAATAGGCGCCGGTCTGTTGAACAGTGCGATAAACGCGCTTCCTTTCGAACTACACGTGCCCGGTTATCAATTTTGCGGACCTGGAACTCGTCTCGCCGAACGATTGCAGCGCGGTGAGCGAGGGGTGAATCCAATGGACGCGGCGTGCCGCGAGCACGACATGCGTACTCGCGAAGCGGTAAACTCGTCGATCGTCACGACGCCGATCGAGTCCTCGCTGAGAAAGCGCGCGATTGTATTACAGCGAAAGACACGACCCTTGGCGAGAGAACCGCGGCGACCGCCGTATGGGCCGCTATGAAGGTAAAAACGAAATTGGGAATGGGTATGAAGAGAGGAAGGAAAACAAGGGGGAGGAAGAGGACGAAGAGAATATTGCCAACGGCGAAACGCGGAGGCTTATTGCCCATTCTACCAATTTTGGGAGTACTTGGTTCCTTGATTGGTGGAGCCGCCGGTGTAGCAAAAGCGGTGAACGACAATAAAGCCGCGCGACGTCAGTTAGAGGAGTTGCAACGTCACAATCGGACGATGGAGGGTTGCGGATTGCATCTCGCACCGTACAAAAAACATGGAGGTGGTGGACAAAGAAGCGGTAAGAGTGGGAAAAGTAAAAAAAAACGTGGACGGAGACGCTAGAGGCGCTCAATTTACCGATGTTTGACGTCACGACGAGCGGACAATTGAATCGAGCGGCGCGTAAACTACGCATACCACACTTTAGAGGGGTGTTCATGCGTGACGATTTACCCATAAAAGCGCGACGTCAGGAGTGTGGCATCGTAAATCTCGACGACAAGGTGGGTCCGGTTACACATTGGGTTGCCTATGCGAAAAAGGTGAACAGTGTTGTATACATACTTTGACAGTTTTGGAAATCTTCAACCTCCGCGAGAACTCACGCGCTATCTAGGGGACGCCAACGTAACGTATAATACAATCATCAATCGTATCAAACATTCAATCAGACTTTCTGCGGTCAATTGTGTTTGCGGTTTCTTTACGAATTCGATTGGACGCGTCCTAGATAAAAAAACCAGCGCACTCGAGATACACTTCAGTCGACTCGACCATAATGTCGCTGACGCTCACGCTGACGGGAACGAGCAGTGTTCTCGTCGCGAGCTATTTTCCCGCTCTCGATCTCAGTGACGGTGAATACGAGTTGGGTCTTGCAAATTTTGAGACCTACAACACGATACCGAACGTTAATTCAACGAACGATACATTTTTCTTTGGGGAGAACGACGAAAAGATCGTCATTCCCGAAGGATCGTACGAGTTGCGTGTTATCAAAAGATATCTCAAAGCTGCGCTTCTCGACAGACGGTTGGAAAAGTCAAAGGATGACGATGTCTTCCTCAACGAGTATTGTGTGTACGACAACGATGAGTATGATGATGACGAGGAGAAGGAAAACCAATATAATATTGTTCTTCGCGCTAATGACAATACTATGAGGACTGAGATAAAATGTATGTACAGAGTAGATTTCTCAAAACCAAACAATATTGGCTCCGTATTAGGTTTCTCAGCAACACGTGTATTGGAACCAAACAAATGGTACGTGTCTGACAAACCAATTAATATCATGAGTGTCAACGTCATACGTGTGGAATGCAACATTACCGCGGGGGTTTACAACAACGACAAACCAGTACATACGATACACGAGTTCGTGCCGAGTGTTCCACCGGGATATAAGGTGTCGGAAACGCCGACGCAGATCATTTACCTACCGGTCATCGTGAGGAGCATCACCGATATAACATTGCGAGTGGTGGATCAAAACGGTCATCCGATTGATTTTCGCGGGGAAGAGATAACGATACGATTGCACGTGAGAAAACGTGTAGCGTGAGATATGCTACACACGTTATACCATGCTCATTGTTGGTGATTCATGCATGAAAAAAAACAACGCGTCTTTTCCCTACGTTGAAAGAAAAGGAGGAAGAGGAGGAGGAGGAGGACGAGAGAACGGAAATCTGTTGAGCGCTGCGAACGTCGCGTTTCTGCGATCGCTTGGATTCATTGTGAGGAACAAGAATTATGGTGGTCGACATCTTGAGTATCGGAGGTGAGCCGATTTTCGACGAGCGCATCGTCAAGATTGAAACTCACACATACAACCCCTACGCCAATGCAACGTTCGGATACAGCGATGAAGTACGAATACCCATACAACAGCAGGATCTGTACACTTTACCATGCGAAAGCGCTCTATACGTGGAGGGAAAATTGTCCGATGAGGCATCGACGACGACGAATCAGACGTCGAAACTTGCGAGCAACTGCGTCGCCTTCATGTTCGAGGAGATACGTTACGAGCTCAATGGCGTAGAGATCGATAGAAATCGTAACG